GGGGAAAGGGGAGAGCCAGGGCTGCCACACCTAGGCCTGCCCCTCCCCAGCAACCGGGGGAGCCAGGGGGGGGGGTTGGCGAGCGTAGCGAGCATGGGGCACCGCCCCCTAGTAAAATATAAAAATGGATTCTGGCAAACCTAAATACCTGTGAAGGAAAGATGCCCTCCCCCCATGATTTTGGCCTTACAAACAGCAGGCATTTGGAGTCCAGTCAGCTTCTCCTCCATCGCCCACGTGGGCTGAGAGCTCTTGCAAGCCTGAGCTGCAGGAGCAGGACCGTGGCACATGTAACAGGAGCTTCCCTTCCAGCTCTTCACTTACAGGCAAAGGTCCGGATCAGAGTCTGACTCAAAACATGAAAACAGCATCAGCATGTGCAGCACCCAAAGGGCGGCTCCAGGGATGTGCTGGGTCATCTCTGCGCCCGGGCCCAGCCTTGGGACACACCACCCTATGGAGAGGGAAGTGACCGTTGCTGGGGGCAGCTGTCCCCCAGCAACGCTGGCCAAAACAAGCCAGTAGGAAGTTGTCAGGCTGAGCGTTCCCCAACACAGATCCCGCGAGGGGTCGGCACTGGGGAACGGTCGTGGTGGAAGATAGACGGGGAGTAGCTCCCTTTGGGGAGTGCTGTTCTACCGCACCATGTGCCCGGCTTGACTGAATGGGTTGTACTGATATTCACAGCAGAGATCAGCTGCGGTACAGCACACTCGCTTGCCTGGAAAGGCTTCAGGAGTGGTGTAAGCCATGGCCGGCAGGGTTTTCTGAAAATCAGTTCTGTGCGGTACAACTGGAACACAGACGCTACCTCGCACTCAATTTAAAACAGATTCCAGAGTTAAAAGCACACCAACACAACCCGGCTCCCAAAGTGAGGAGCTTTTGAACCCTGTGATTGGCTTCTACTTGGTACTGTCCGCCACAGCGAGCCAGCTGATTACCTTATGGAGGGCGGAAGGCGATCTCGGAGCGGCACAGGGCTGGAACGAACCTGCACTCACTAGCCAGCCTGACGTTTTTAAACCTGTCAGAGCAACCCACCTCTCAATGTAGCTGATCTGCGGGTCACGTGACTTTGGTTTTCAACGCCCAGAGCAGCAGGCGACCAACAGTGATGCAGCAGGAGGATGAGAGGCCCGTGGGGTGGATGGAATGAACCGCACTGTCCTGCCAACTTCCCAACCTGACGAGAAGGTCCAACCTGCTCCTTTTCGTGCAGACGCTCAGCGGACGGAGGAACCGTTGCTCATTTTGCTCAGACTCACCAGCAGACAGCAAGTTCGCGCCTCATGTAAACTGGTCGTCACCATTCATTTTAAAACCAGACTAGGAACTAGGTAGCGTCACGGGGTCGTCCTGAGCACAACTCCACCTTGCATGGAACGCATGGGAACTTACACCTGTCTGGCCTTTCCAGAAGGCGCCGGAATTCAGCGCCCAGCTGGTCGGCTCAGTGCTACACCCCTCATGGAGCAGAGTTCCCAGCATGTCCAAATCTGGCACGTGCACCCGGCCCGCCTGGCTAACGAGCATGCCCATTCTCCCCATGACCCGCGGGGAAGGGCTTGCGGTATTTACACTGGATCCACACTCGATGCATCGTCACTTGCTTCCCTCGGTTCACCTGCAGGCGCCGATCCACTAGATTCTGGACTTTTTCCAACCCCGCCGTGGTGAAAAGAGCATCCAGTTCATCTAGGAGGAGTGGGGAGGAGGTGGTTAAGGTAGCAAAAGCAAGTAATTTCTCAGCTAACTGCTCTGAGGGGGGGCCCAAAGATTCCTCTGAAGGTTCAAGGAAGAGCTAGGGAAGTCCAGTGCTTCTGATCCCCCAGTCAAATGAAAGGATCAGGTGATCCCTGGCTTTGGATCTGTCAGGGTCTCTGCACTGCCTGCCAACCCTTGCGGTCATCTCCTGGCAAGAGCTAATGCTGGCCTTGGGGAACACATTCTGCTGTGCCCGACTGAGGGGGCAGGGAAGTGCTTGGACAACAGGCCTCATGGAGAGCCAGGGGCAGGAGGAAGGGAAGAGAGCAGCAGCCCGAGAATGAAGAGGCAAGGCACTGTCCCTGCACGAATGTCAGCGGGGATGGGACTTTCTGAGACTCGGGACAGTTGAGGCAGGAACGTGTTGGGGCTTGATCAAGATGCTCAAATCCCCAAGTCCCTGGAAATGGAGGCCACTCAACACCCACCAGGATCAGGCCCGTGCTGTGAAGCTCTAGGGGTACAGTCCTGTCTGTCTGATATGGACTATTAATCCAAAGCCAGTCCAGAAAAGCCACACCTAGGAGAGGCTGAGCGAGACACTGAGTGCCTCCAGGCCAGAACCACGCTACAGCCAAGTGGTCCAAACACAAGCGATGGGCTGCAGGAAGCCCTTGGTGACAGGGAGCCCCAACACGCCGGCTGCATGTAAAGCTAGAAACCTAGCAGTGCCGGGGAGAGATCCCATGTAACTGCAGCCCTGGGAGCACATGATTTTACAGCGTTTCTGTAGCAGAGGGCTAACAAGTCCCAGCTTGTGCTCTTTTATCTCATCCCCGCCATGCCGAAACCTTTGCCAGACAGCGATTTGCCTCCTTCCAAACACCCATTTTAGATGTATGGACTGTGACCGGTCCCCCTGGGCAGTGAACCGAATGTACCTCTGCCACATACACCGGTCATTTTAGCTCATACTAAGCCTGACAACACTCATTTGGTTGGGGATGTGGAGGGCAAGGGGCGACAGGTGGAGAATACAGGTGCCAGGGAGCAGTGGCACAGCTGTTTTGCTAAGGCTACCCCTGCCCAGCAGCCAGAAGAGTCTGCAGTGCCGCCAGATTGGGGGAGGTAGAAGACAAGATCCTCAAAGCACTGTCTCCTCTGGCTCTATATCCACGCACCCTCCCCCACGCAACAGTATCCAGGAAACGTCCCTCCCCCCCAGCTCCCCACAGCCTGCTCCCCACCCCGGGGGTAGCAAGCACACTAGTTCCATTGCATGCAAGGGAGACGGGAAAGGATTTCCCGCTAAACGAAGACCTTATTTCACAACCTTCAACTGGCACAGCTCTCCATGTAACTGACAAACCTCTAAGGTGTCAGGCCGGTTGAGGGGAGAGGCCCAGTCAGTTGCTTGCCTCTGGGGGAGGCAGGAATGAGGAAGGTGAGAAGGTCGGGAATACGATATCGAATCTCCTACCTTGTGTAAAGAAGTAAACTCTAGTCCCATCACCTCTCACGTAGAAGTTATCGGACAGACACCGACCTGAGGGCAAGAATGGTTCGGACAGCATTACCCACCTAACTCATTTTCTATCAGCCAGTCAGCTGCATGGCAAGCCAGATGGCAATTCCCTGCCCTCTATGGCACACCGTGCTGAAGGGGGAGTTTTCAGCCCGTCTCTAGACATGGCAGCTTCCACGCAGACACTCTCACATCACCCATCACTGATATGGCAAAGGCTTCCGCATGGCAGAAGGAAATACCTTTCTTAAACCGAAGCTGCGCCAGATCGTAACGGCCGTAGTCTCGTAACAGAATCATTCCCCCGGGTTTCAGAAGCCGGCTCAGTCTGTTAATGGCGCACTGCATCCTGGAAAAGGGCAAATTAGGCAAATTCATCAGCCTTCAAAGTTATGCTTCATTAGAATGAGTTGAGCTGACCAGAGACAATGCTCCTTTGATTAGACCTTTATTTACAACTTATGATGTGTGTGAAAAATTCTCATTTTAATCAGTTCAGTAGCTGCATGGTTTTTAAGGCGGAGGGTTGTAATAGCGAATATGAAGATGCTGTGGTTTTGTCAGCAGTTGTCTCTATAAACGGGGCTGCCTCCGGACACACAGATTTGTAGGTTGTACAAATATCTGAAAAAGTCTTTGTAAAATGGCATCACATGAGAGAAAGTGGTCACATGGTTTAACGCACAAGCCTCAAGTGCTATCCATGGTTCTGCACAGATTTCCTGCGAGAGCCTGAGCAGGAATCCTACACACAAAATAAAATCAGACTAGACAGGAGGCAAACCTTTCTAACAGAGGGCAATTAACCTTGGAACAACGCGCTTAGACACACACCGGATTCTCCGTTAATTGAAGTCTTGAAGGTCAGGGCTGAAGGCCTTTTGAAAGGATTTGTTACACAGCTCAACCACATGGGCTGTATCAATACCAATTACTGGGTGAAGTGCTCTTGCCTGTGTTTTACAGGAGACCAGGTTAGATAAGGTTTCCCCCCTCTGGCCTTAGAACCTATGACACGGCCATGACGTTTTTGTGAGTGCCCAACCTGCGGCACCTTGGGCCTGATTTTTCAGACGCGTTCAGCACTTGCAGCCAACATGGACTGAAACTCAGATCTGTGCTGCCCCAAAACGTAAGGCTCCCTAGTATCCAGCATTTTTGTTACAACCCTGGTGTCGGCAGTTTGTAGGTAGGTCAGAAAGCAGAGGTTGGCCCTGATACTTCTAGTGCAAGGCAGGATCTCTCAATCTTTCGGGAGCAGAGCCCCCCACTTCAGAAGAGTGAATCACAGCCCGGCCAGACGCACAAGAGGCCTTCCCATCTCAGTGTATTTAGCTTTCGCATCAGCCTATCTTCAAGCTGGCTAGTCTTAGCCCCACATGCTCTGGCACAGGCGCCACTGCACGGGACCCAACCCAACATCTCCACCAGAGCGTGAGCCATTTAAGGAGGCTTTGCCATGTTGGTTATCAGAGAAGAACGTTATCCCAAGGGTACACAGTTCCAGTTGCAGTCCTCATGGCATCCAGGAGCCCCCGTCATGGACTGGGATGCATTGCATAAACACAGAACTAAAAAACGGTCCGCGCGTGCGACTGAGCAGTTTGAAGGTGTGCACGGGCACCATGGGGAGGAGAAGCCCAGCACTTCCACAGCTGGGTCATCCCTTCGATTTTTTTGGGCATGTCTGCAGCTGCTCAGGCTTCATAGACCATCTTCTGCAAGGAGGCTCCAGCACGAGGCTAGCGGGGTTTTCTTGGTTTAGTCGGTGGCAAGGGGCTAGGTCAGGGCAGAGTGGGAACGGGGTATTTGCCACGAGCTTTTTGTATTCCCTGTCACGGCATCTTGGCAGGTATTTGCTGGCTCAGTGTTAGCCAGTCCTGGTAGCCTGGGCCTGGATGTGAGGGTACCACAGATTATGTGAAGAGCCAAGTTAATTTTGGTGTGTGGGATTGGGCTCCAACCCAGAGCACGGTATTCTACTGCAGAACAGACCAGGGCTAGTGTCAGGACTCGGCGGGTGGGTCGTTGTTTCAACATGTAACCACTGAATTTGTTAGCATCAGTACTCGGCGGGTCGGGCGTTGTTTCAACATGTAACCACTGAATTTGTTAGCAGTTAGACATTAATAAGCGAGAGGGGGGGGATCCAGATTTTAAGCTAGCTCCCCTCTAGTACCAGCTCCCATTTCCTCCCCCCAGGCTGCTGCCTCTGTATCAGAGGTAGCAGTGCGGGCAGCAGACAGCTCCATGGGAGCAGGTACTGACAGGGAGCCAGCTTTTAAGCCAATTCCCTGTGAGCACTGCTCCGGCCTCCCTACCATGCTGCTGCCTTTGTGGTAGGCAGGTGGGAGGGGAAGTGCTGGAGCTGGAGTAGATGGTGACTTACTTTTCCGGGCGAATGGCTGACAGGACAAAGATGAGAATAACAATGTCCAGGCTCTCCTCTGGCATGGGGTACGGGCTTTGGTCCTTGCACAGGTCATGAACAAAGGCAAAACAGCGGGAAGAGTCATACTCTGCATTGCTCTGTAGTTAAAAGAGGGGCACACAAGAGGATACAGACACCAGCAGACATAAATACCAAAGCTACCTAGTTGCCTTGTCTAAACTGTGTTTTCACGAGGGAAAGCTGGAAGAGCCAACGCACGTCTACACAGTAGGCTGAGCAACACTCAACCCAGGACAGGGATTACCTATTGTGTTCCCTCCCTCTGGGGCATCTGGGATTAGCCACTGTCGGCAGACAGGATACTGGGCTGGATGGACCGTTGGTTTGACCCAATATGGCCGTTCTTATGACAGACTCGCGGTAGCTCCACTCAAGCTAGCATGCTAAAAATAGCACCGTGGACAGAGTGGCAAGGGCAATGGATTGGGGTAGCCATCCAAGTCCAAGCCTCCTTGACCAGCTAGCTTGAGCCATCGCCCATCCTGCAACGTTTACACTCAGTGCACTGGGTCGAATGGCGTTAGCATGTGTCCATGTACCTAGGCTGGGAGACGCACACATTTCTGCATCAGAGAGATACCCCCGAAGGCCAGGAGTCCATCTTGAAATAATCTGTGTGTACAGTTATGTAATTAGAATAGTTGAGTGATGTCAGTGGTAGTGATGGAAGCGTCAGCTTATTGGATAGTCAAGTAGTCCCTCGACTAGTCGCTTCACACACATGCCCCTTGCTGTCTCTAGAAGCAGCAAGGGGGGGGGAGAAGGGGCTGGGGCTGAGGGGGGCCGTTAAACCGAAGCTGCGCCAGATCGTAACGGCCGTAGTCTCGTAACAGAATCATTCCCCCGGGTTTCAGAAGCCGGCTCAGTCTGTTAATGGCGCACTGCATCCTGGAAAAGGGCAAATTAGGCAAATTCATCAGCCTTCAAAGTTATGCTTCATTAGAATGAGTTGAGCTGACCAGAGACAATGCTCCTTTGATTAGACCTTTATTTACAACTTATGATGTGTGTGAAAAATTCTCATTTTAATCAGTTCAGTAGCTGCATGGTTTTTAAGGCGGAGGGTTGTAATAGCGAATATGAAGATGCTGTGGTTTTGTCAGCAGTTGTCTCTATAAACGGGGCTGCCTCCGGACACACAGATTTGTAGGTTGTACAAATATCTGAAAAAGTCTTTGTAAAATGGCATCACATGAGAGAAAGTGGTCACATGGTTTAACGCACAAGCCTCAAGTGCTATCCATGGTTCTGCACAGATTTCCTGCGAGAGCCTGAGCAGGAATCCTACACACAAAATAAAATCAGACTAGACAGGAGGCAAACCTTTCTAACAGAGGGCAATTAACCTTGGAACAACGCGCTTAGACACACACCGGATTCTCCGTTAATTGAAGTCTTGAAGGTCAGGGCTGAAGGCCTTTTGAAAGGATTTGTTACACAGCTCAACCACATGGGCTGTATCAATACCAATTACTGGGTGAAGTGCTCTTGCCTGTGTTTTACAGGAGACCAGGTTAGATAAGGTTTCCCCCCTCTGGCCTTAGAACCTATGACACGGCCATGACGTTTTTGTGAGTGCCCAACCTGCGGCACCTTGGGCCTGATTTTTCAGACGCGTTCAGCACTTGCAGCCAACATGGACTGAAACTCAGATCTGTGCTGCCCCAAAACGTAAGGCTCCCTAGTATCCAGCATTTTTGTTACAACCCTGGTGTCGGCAGTTTGTAGGTAGGTCAGAAAGCAGAGGTTGGCCCTGATACTTCTAGTGCAAGGCAGGATCTCTCAATCTTTCGGGAGCAGAGCCCCCACTTCAGAAGAGTGAATCACAGCCCGGCCAGACGCACAAGAGGCCTTCCCATCTCAGTGTATTTAGCTTTCACATCAGCCTATCTTCAAGCTGGCTAGTCTTAGCCCCACATGCTCTGGCACAGGCGCCACTGCACGGGACCCAACCCAACATCTCCACCAGAGCGTGAGCCATTTAAGGAGGCTTTGCCATGTTGGTTATCAGAGAAGAACGTTATCCCAAGGGTACACAGTTCCAGTTGCAGTCCTCATGGCATCCAGGAGCCCCCGTCATGGACTGGGATGCATTGCATAAACACAGAACTAAAAAACGGTCCGCGCGTGCGACTGAGCAGTTTGAAGGTGTGCACGGGCACCATGGGGAGGAGAAGCCCAGCACTTCCACAGCTGGGTCATCCCTTCGATTTTTTTGGGCATGTCTGCAGCTGCTCAGGCTTCATAGACCATCTTCTGCAAGGAGGCTCCAGCACGAGGCTAGCGGGGTTTTCTTGGTTTAGTCGGTGGCAAGGGGCTAGGTCAGGGCAGAGTGGGAACGGGGTATTTGCCACGAGCTTTTTGTATTCCCTGTCACGGCATCTTGGCAGGTATTTGCTGGCTCAGTGTTAGCCAGTCCTGGTAGCCTGGGCCTGGATGTGAGGGTACCACAGATTATGTGAAGAGCCAAGTTAATTTTGGTGTGTGGGATTGGGCTCCAACCCAGGGCACGGTATTCTACTGCAGAACAGACCAGGGCTAGCATCAGTACTCGGCGGGTCGGGCGTTGTTTCAACATGTAACCACTGAATTTGTTAGCAGTTAGACATTAATAAGCGAGAGGGGGGGGATCCAGATTTTAAGCTAGCTCCCCTCTAGTACCAGCTCCCATTTCCTCCCCCCAGGCTGCTGCCTCTGTATCAGAGGTAGCAGTGCGGGCAGCAGACAGCTCCATGGGAGCAGGTACTGACAGGGAGCCAGCTTTTAAGCCAATTCCCTGTGAGCACTGCTCCGGCCTCCCTACCATGCTGCTGCCTTTGTGGTAGGCAGGTGGGAGGGGAAGTGCTGGAGCTGGAGTAGATGGTGACTTACTTTTCCGGGCGAATGGCTGACAGGACAAAGATGAGAATAACAATGTCCAGGCTCTCCTCTGGCATGGGGTACAGGCTTTGGTCCTTGCACAGGTCATGAACAAAGGCAAAACAGCGGGAAGAGTCATACTCTGCATTGCTCTGTAGTTAAAAGAGGGGCACACAAGAGGATACAGACACCAGCAGACATAAATACCAAAGCTACCTAGTTGCCTTGTCTAAACTGTGTTTTCACGAGGGAAAGCTGGAAGAGCCAACGCACGTCTACACAGTAGGCTGAGCAACACTCAACCCAGGACAGGGATTACCTATTGTGTTCCCTCCCTCTGGGGCATCTGGGATTAGCCACTGTCGGCAGACAGGATACTGGGCTGGATGGACCGTTGGTTTGACCCAATATGGCCGTTCTTATGACAGACTCGCGGTAGCTCCACTCAAGCTAGCATGCTAAAAATAGCACCGTGGACAGAGTGGCAAGGGCAATGGATTGGGGTAGCCATCCAAGTCCAAGCCTCCTTGACCAGCTAGCTTGAGCCATCGCCCATCCTGCAACGTTTACACTCAGTGCACTGGGTCGAATGGCGTTAGCATGTGTCCATGTACCTAGGCTGGGAGACGCACACATTTCTGCATCAGAGAGATACCCCCGAAGGCCAGGAGTCCATCTTGAAATAATCTGTGTGTACAGTTATGTAATTAGAATAGTTGAGTGATGTCAGTGGTAGTGATGGAAGCGTCAGCTTATTGGATAGTCAAGTAGTCCCTCGACTAGTCGCTTCACACACATGCCCCTTGCTGTCTCTAGAAGCAGCAAGGGGGGGGGAGAAGGGGCTGGCGCTGAGGGGAGCTGGCTTAAAAGCTGGTTCCCGCCAACACCACCTCCACGTGGTGGTGGGGAGAGCAGGGGAGGCAGAGGCATCCCTGCTACTGTGTCTCGTTCTCTGAAATGTACAAGAGCCACAGCCAAAGGGAGAGGCGCAGTGGGATTGTGAGCGCCTCCCTTACTGACTAATTGAGTAGTTGATGGAACTACTTGATAAGCTGATTAATCAAAATTTAACATCTCTAGTCAGTGGAGGGGAACTATGGAAAATTATCGAATGGATACGTCAGTTATAAGAGTTCTCCCCTCGTTCTAGTCAGTCCTTCACTGCTGCCATACAAAGCAGTGCCAAGCTACAGGACCAATGACAGCTTTAAGGTCAAACGTCTCACAAACGATCAATAGAAATGGCTGATTTACACCATTACGTTGGAATTCTCCCCTTTATAGCAGAACAAAGGGCCAAATCAATGGTTAAAACTCCTGCTGGTCAAACCAGGAAGTCTAATGCCAGGCTCCTAAAAGCATATTTAGATTCCTAAACAGAAGGGGTCTGTTTTACAGACCTGAGGAGCAGCCCCAGCTCCCTCTGATATGCAGACTCTGGTCAGTTTCGCCCTGTCACTGTTTGGGAAGGGGGGAGGGAGCACCAGAAGTGATACTGGAACAGCTGCCCCGTGCCTCTACCCTCCTCCCCCCTCACGAGTTCCCATAGCAAACTGGCAGGCAAATTTAACACTCTAGCTACGTTTTCCAAACTCTGTTCTTTACAGTTTTTGTTTGTTAACATCTGCTACTCCATGGCCAAAATAACAAAGCCAGCATCCATCAGGACACACTAGCCCAATCAACTGCTAGTTGCAGACCTGTGGTTATAGCTCTAATACAAGTGAATCAAGAATCACATTAATGAATTGGGGCTGCAAGAAATAATCACTTCTCCAGAACCACCGTCAAACTGTCCTTTTAAAATCAATCCTGTCCCCTTCCTTTCTGCAGCCTCCAATGGTCAGATCCCCAATCTACTTGCACTATGAGGCAAGTACTGCCAAGTTCTAGCTAACTATCAAGAATTGAACTAATGCTAATTGAACTAGTGCTAATTGTAGATCTTTCCATAAGCTTCACTTAGCTGTGACTAGGGATGGAACAGTATAGTCAATTAAGCGATAAGCAAAAGCATACAGGTTAATGCTATAGACTATACACATTTCCCTCTCCCCCTCTCTCTGCCAGTACATTTTTAGCAGGCTGGCCAGCAACTTGGCTCAGTCCTGCTTGCAACTGGTCTGAGATCTACCCTTGCTACAGCTGCATTCAAAGTGTATTAGGATCCAAGCAGGCAGGCAGCCCGGCTCAGTCCTGGCTCATGCTGGGTCTGGGACTACCCCATTTCAGCTCTGCATTTCAAGTGCAGTAAGAGCCGGGGTGGGCAGGCAGCCCAGCTCAGTTCTGGCTTGCATGGGGTCCAGGAGCTCAGACCAACCCCAGACAGGGACTGCTGCCACCCCATGCTGCTGCCTCTCTCTCAGAAGCAGCAGCACAAGGCAACAGGCAGCCAGTCCATGAGGGGAGATGGTTTTTAAACTGGCTCCCCTCACAATTCAGCTCCTACCTGGCACCCTGTGCCGCTGCCTCTGATATAGTGGCTGCTGGCCCCGCCCCGAATAGTCGACTAACTGATAAAATTTCATGAGGTTACTCGACTATTCAATTAACCGATATTTAACATCCCTAGCTGTGACAGCATCTAGAACTTATTCAATATTTAGTTTACCTGGACAAGATCCACAGCAGTGTTGGAAAAATCACAGCAATAAACAAAGAGCCCTGGATCACTGAAATAAATATACAAGAAACAAGAAATAGTCTGCATTGATAAAAATTGATGATCATAAAGAAACCTCAATTTTTAAATACATTTATCTTTTTAAAAAGACCTATTTAAAATTAAATTTGTAATCATGACAATCTACATTAAGACCTACACTTACTATAATCTGTTAAAATATTCAGTCAAAAATATTCACACACTACATGTCTGCTGCCAAAATTTTAAAGAAAATCAAAGCACTAAACTGGTGGAAGTCACTGGTTAAGCCCCTATAAGTAGGTTTTGTTGAAGTGCTAAACTATCTTTTGACAACAGCAATTTTTTATGCAGGTGCAGAGAAAACATTTTTTTTTTCAATTTCAATTTACTCAACCATTTTTGTTTAATGATTAGTTCATTCAAAGTTGAGAAACTGATTGGAACCATAAAACAAAATGTTTCCTGCTTTTTCATCTCCCGATCTGGGATTAAAAACAAGGTGAGAGTTGGTGAAAACTACTAGTTCTAAAATCTTCAGGAAATGGTGAAACATTCAATTCACTAGTTTCAGACAATACTTAATATGTTTAATAAATCAGTTTGTTTTATATACTAAATGTGTTAAGCATCTCACTTCCATGACTGAGGAGCGGGTAAGTAAACAAACCAGAGTGGTCTGTTAGCAGCCCACAGTCCACATTGAGAAACACTGTTCTAGAATCAGAGGGGTGGCCATGTTAGTCTGAATCTGCAAAAGCAGTGAGGAGTCCTGTGGCACCTTATAGACTAACTGAAGTGTAGGAGCATAAGCTTTCGTGGGCAAAGACCCACTTCGTCAGATGCATGTAGTGGAAATATCCCACTAGGCGACATGCTTCTATGCTGATAATGTGTGTTAAAAAATAATCATTAAATAAATTGGTGACTGCCCACTAGACGACATGCTTCTATGCTGATAATGCGTGTTAAAAAATAATCATTAAATAAATTGGTGACTGAACGCTTTGGGGAAAAATTCTTCCATCCATTTCACATAACAACAGTCTTGGATGATGACCTGTACACGTTGTTTGTTTTAAGAACACTTTCACAGCAGATTTGACAAAGTGGAAAGGAAGCATCAGTGTGAGATTGCTAAAGATAGCTACAGCAATTGACCCAAGATTTAGAATCATAAATGCCTTCCAAAATCTGAGAGGAACGAGAAGTGGAGCATGCTTTGGAAGTCTTAAAAGAGCAACACTCTGATGTGGAAACTATAGAATCCAAACCACCCAAAAGAAAGTCAACCTTGTCTTGTGGCATCAGACTCAGATGATGAAAATGAAGATGGACTGGCCTGCCCTGCTTTGGATTGTTATCAAAACAGAATCCGTCATCAGAAGAAATGCATGTCCTCTGGAATGGTGATTGAAGCATGAAGGGATGTGTGAATCTTTACCGCATCTGGCACATAAATATTTTGCAAGACTGACAACAACAGTGCTATGTGAATGCCTGCTTTCACTTTCAGGTGATGTTGTAAACAAAAAGCGAGCAGCAAATGGAAACAACCTCGTTTGTCTGAGCAGTTAACTGAACAAGGAGGAAGACTGAGTGGACTTGTAGGCTCTTAAGTTTTACACTGCATTCAAAAATAAAAGTTATTTTGGACATAATTCTACATGTATAAGTTCAACTTTCATAATAAACAGATTGCACTACATTAAAAATTGAAAAATACTATTTTTATTTGTACAGTGCAAATATTTATGATCAGGGCTCGCCGAACCGCGGCGAGCCCCACTCGCCAGCCGCGCTGTCCAGCGATCTGCGCATGCGCAGATCGTTCTGCACATGCGCAGATCATCCAAACCCGGCTCTTCTGGGATACAATCTACTCGCCACAGGCGAGTAGATTGTGTTATTTGTCGAGCCCTGTTTATAATACAAAATATAAAAAGTGAGCACTATACACTTTGTAGTCTGTTGTAACTAAAGTCAGTACATTTGAAAATGTAAAACATCAAAAAATATTTTATAGATGGCATTCTCTTATTAAAAGTGCAACTCATCACGATTCATTTTGTAATCACCTGACAGCCCTAATTTAAATGAATTCACCTTGCAGAGTAACTTTAAGGAAGAAGTGGGGCTAATGGTTAGAGCATGCAGCTGGGAGTTAAGAGCACTGGGCTTTATTCTCATCTCTACCAATGACTTGCCATGTGACCATGGATGAGTCACTTAGCACCTTTATGCCTCTGTCATCCCCATCTGTACAGTGATGGGGTTAGTAAGCCTTATAGTCCTGGAGGAGAGGAGGGAAAATGGAGATTGGAGAGTACGGCTGTAGAGTGCTTTGAAAGCCACAGATGAGTGGATGTGGAGAATTTCATGAGCATCAAATGCTTTCTATGGACCCTCAACAACCTTATAATCTCAATTCAATCATTCAAAGGACAAAATTGACAAGTGGGTGTATTTGTGTTTTAGCCTCTTCTATATGCCACGAGTCTATGCATTAAAAAGAAGAGCAGAGCACAAAATCCTTTCCAGTCATTCATTTTTTCTCTACAAGTAAATAATGAGAGCTGCTTACTTGTTGGTTTGCAAAATCGGGAAGACCGTATTTCCAGCACCACAGCCAACCTGCAAAACAGAGAGCAGCCTGTTACACACTGGTATCGCTTTCCTCACCAACTCCTGCTTTCTAGTCTGCACTTAGCAGATGTTATAAAACATCACTCTTCAGCCACAAAATGATGTTCCAGCAACCTACAGGGGACCATTCCCAAACAACGAACACCTGTGACTCCCATTAACAAGAGATGAAGATGTTCAGCACCTTTCAGGATCAGGCCTTGCATCTAAGCATCCACAGGAAGCCACCAATCTAGCTACCTAATTCTACCACCAGTCCGACAGCTTGCCAAGATCACTGATATTCTTGAAAGTTGTTACTGCTGGAATTGCAAGCATAACAACCAGTATGAGTCACTCAAGCAGTCTCAAAGGCCAGGGGTTAGTCAGTTTCATTTCCATACAGAGACAATGAGGAAGAGTGGGGGAGGAGAAGGAAATTTGCTTTGCTCTCTTTTTTTTTCCCTGTTATAGCTGCAACCTGTTATTTCCGACACCTTTTCTAAATGATTCTCCTACTATCCCTAGTTATGATTGGGCCTGCAATACTACTCATTTGAAGAGAAGATAAGCCACACAACTTAGTTCAGCGGCTTTTGTTTCTGAATGTTTAGGGACTTCTGTGGAAGGACTGAAGTAAGCAGAGTGGAATGTACCAGTGGATGTTTGAAATGACAGTGGGTGCAGAAAGAATACAAGCGGATTATGAAAGTAGAGATGGTTTAATAGTATGGAAAGTTGCTCTACTACAGTTTTAGGTGCTAGGATCCTGCAGAAAGATCCAGAGTTATTTATGTTGACTCACCTCTGGGAGAATAGGGCTCCAACACCACTACTGACACAACAGAAACTGAACCAGCCACAGATATATGTTCACAGATTGTCCACAGTGACAAGTTGTGGGGGAAAACACAGTACAGATAATTTGGCTTTAATAGTTTATTAGCCTGATAAGCATTGGAAACACAGTACAAATAGTTGTGGGGGAAAACACAGTACAAATAATTTGGCTTTAATAGTTTATTAGCCTGATAAGCATTCCTAGAATAGGTTATAGAACCTAAGGGGATTTCAGCAGCATCACCATTTCGAAACTTCACAACTTCCTGAGAACTCCTTAGCTGTACTGAGCAGGTTTGGTTTTTTTCTTTAAATCTGCAATATGATTCTCAGAACTGTACATCACTCAAGTCAGACACAGAATCGGGGTCAGAACTCAAAGTCAGGGACAGAGGGAAGCTTTCTGAACACAGTTCATAGTCCAACTCTTTGCACAGTAAGGGCACGTATACACAGCGGGGCAGAAGTCAAATTAAGCTATGCAACTTGAGATACATCAACTGCATAGCTTAAGTTGAAATAGTTTAATTCAGCTTTTGGCACTGTCTACACAGCAAGAAGTCGAAGGAAGATCATTCTTCCTTCAACTTCCCTTACTCCTTGTAAAATGATGGTTACAGGGGCTGGGAGTAAGAAATACTCCAGCTCGCCATTATGTCGAAATAGTGTAGTGGCTTGCAGTGTAGACACACTGTTTGTTATTTCTGAATAATGTCAGACCACTTTGAAAACTAGTTGGTGACAAAGACCAATCTAAACCAAAACCCAACAGGTTTAATTCAGTTCAAAGTTGCCTTCTCTGCGTCAGACCACTTTGAAAACTAGTTCGTGACAAAGACCAATCTAAACCAAAACCCAACAGGTTTAATTCAGTTCAAAGTTGCCTTCTCTGTTTTTAAACCAGTGGTCCCCAACGTAGTGCCCATGGGTGCCATGGCGCCCGCCGGGGCATTTATGTGTGCCCGCCGAATGATCTGGACCAGCCCTGGGCATGCGGCGCGTGGGCAGCCCCGGCCTCGCGGCAGCTCCAAAGGGTTGGGGACCACTGTTTTAAACACTCTCCACTGCGTTGTTCCTGTTCACCTCTAAAATGTTATCCTCTCTCTACCCTCCCCCCCATACTTTGCCTCTTGTGTTTTCCCCCTTTCCTCTGAAGTATATCTGTACAAACCATTTTCCAGGATTATCTGAGCAAATCTCACAATCATTTTATTTCCATTGCAGGTCTTGGGCAATCCCATTCTCTACCTGTGGCACATAATAGTCACCCATGGGCTGTAATATTTCAGTCTCATTTCAGTTGTTGGATTTAATATACAGCTGCTGGGTAGTAGCCTGTGAAATCTGTGGTTGGGGGGAGGTCAAATGAGATGATCTGGAGTCCTTCCAGCCTCCAGCTCTGTGACTACCCCATCCCTTTGCTTAGTCTCATTATTGCTGGTATAGGAGCCTTCTCCTATGTAGCAGCCTTCCTGAATCTTTCCTGAAAATGAAGCTCTCCCCTTGCCTATATTTCAGCTTCTCTCCTATTATTCAGTTCTGTTAAGAGCTTTGGGATCGATTTGTATGCAAGATAGTTCTTTATGGAAAGTTGCATTGTGCTGTAGGATTTGGTGAAGTTGTACATGTCAGCCTGTCAGTTTAAAGTCAGTCACCTAGATGACCAAAGACTCTCACGCCAAGTTTGATTCAACTGGGAAAGATTCAGTGTCCCCCATTCACTGAAGTTACCTCTAGTATACGGTAAGTGGCAGAGGATCCCGGGAAGTCACCATCACTTTGTTTCACGTCACCCAGTTTTAGTCTTGCTTCACAATCTGTGCTGAGTCTGTGGATGATATTGCTACTGTCTTTCATCAAGTCCAGTTGATGATGCTCTTGTATTCTGGTTTCCAATGAACAAGGACCATTTCCACACCTCCCCAGCCTGGCGTGTCTGGTGCTATCATTTTCATATGCAGAAGCCTCAGGTTGACTTAGGTTGTGGTTTGGGGCCAGTTCAGGAAATTCAGTGAACAACCAGTGTCTGTCCTTGAAGAAGCCATTTTCATGGATTTTATAGAAATCATTCCAGTATTCATTAGCATTGAGCTCATATTCATCTGTACGGAAAGACACAGAAGAAGGATCAACAGAAGACAAGTCAAAGATCAGCTTAACCAGACAGGTGTGTCAGGCTCCATGCTGAAGTTAGCAACTTATTAAGGAAAGTGTTTGAGAAAGAAGTTGTCTGGATTTCATGGAAACTTTGAGATAGGCCTCTTCTATTTGCAGAGAACTGGAGAAAACACAGGTGCTGATAACATTTCACAGTATTTTTTTATTAGCAGGGGATGCTAACTTCGGCATCATCCTGTTCCCTATTTCTGCCAGTGACTCTCTGGGACCTGAGGGAAGTCACTTAGGGCCTCGCCCTGAAAAGTGCTGGACACCTACCACTCCCAGTGAAGTCAACGAGAGATGAAGGTGCTTAGTATATTTTGGAATCGGGCCTTTTTGCTTCCCTATCTGAAAAATGGGATAGAATGTACTTACCTCACAGGGGTTGTGGAAGGCTTTGCTAGTATTGACACTATGTTTTGAAATTGTGGAGTGGAATGTGCTTTAGAAACATTATAATAATGTAGTCTGACTGCCAGTACAGGACTGCTCCCTATTGTACTTTATTTCCATGGCTTGGTACAATATAGAGCATCAGACGTTCCTGAGATTGCTGACAGGAAAAGGAGACCAGGGAGACCATTGTCTGCTCTCCCATGCACCCAATGTTGGTTAAGGGCTTGGATTAATATATATATATATTAAAGAAAGAAAAGGAAGTGGGGGTATGTCTACACTACCCTCCTAGTTCGTAAAGAAAGAAATGTAAGTGGGGAGTCTAATCGCTTGGGCCTACTGGATCAATTTCATGAGATGACCACCACAGTATAGAGCAAGAGCCGGAAGAACTCCCCTCTGTTGAGGAGGTGGAGTGGAGATGAGTGAGATGGTGTTTCTACTGAGATCAGAAATGGCCTGGTACAATTTCCACCACCTGGCTGCACAGATTTGAGAGACCCAGTACAGTTCTTGGAGTTGCTTCCCTTCTTGGGAAACGGACTCAGTGTGAGGAACTGATTAGCATCTTCCAAGTGTGGTGGGTCTCTCTATCAAATGAGGTTTTGGCAAGAGCAGTCCTGCCCTATTGTGCTGAGAATAGAGAACTAATGTCAGTGCCCTGAGCCATAGACACCAGCCACATTTCAACAACATGCAAGTCCTTAAACAGCTTTGGACAGCGATAGGTTATTTACTGAACTCACACCCACAATGATGATTATTCACCCTCTTCTACACTTCGCACTCTATTTCTCTGACACCCACCAAGGACTGGAGGCTTTAAAATTGGACTTAGTCTTATGCCAGCCTAGGACACAGAAAATTCAGCCGGAATCTCTCTCATGGTTTGAAAGATGGGCAAAGGAGGACAAAGAAAAGAAGGCTGGACATGTCTAGGGAGAAATACAATCTCCATCTAAAAGGTGGCTTGGGTGAAGGAGAAAATAATTGTTTTGGCAAAGAACTGAAAAGTTAGTTCTGGGTGTACTTTTAGCAGGATTCATCCTGAAGCATGAAGTGCTAACTATAGAAATAATTGCTCTAACTTTATTCCAGCTACAAGGGCCTTGTAAAGAGCCATGACTTCAGAACCCAAGTCAGGGGAGATTTTAATGTGACAGTAGGCTGCAGTCATAGCTGTGATCTGATCAGATCTCAAACTGAGCAGGGGAAGCCCATTTAGGATTTCCATAGGAGACATTCAAGGAACACTAACACTGAGGAAGTAGTATTGTTGGTTCAGTAGCTGGTGCTTTTTTTGAGCTCCATGGAACCAATTTCTTAATGTGGAGGCCAGGAAGTCCAGTGCTAGGGGTGCCATCTTTCAGAGAAAACACAGGTGCTGATAACATTCCACAGCATTTTCATACAAGCAGGGGATGCTAACTTTGGCATCTTGGCAAGATTCCAACTCAGCTCTCTACCTTTTAATTCCCTAAATCATTGACTCTCAACCTTTCCAGACTACTGTACCCCTTTCAAGGAGCCTCATTTGTCCTGCGTACTTCCAAATTTCATCTCACTCCTTGCTTACAAAATCAGACATTAAAATGCAAAAATGTCACAGCATGCTATTACTGAAGAGTTGTATCTTTTCTTATTTTCCCATATAATAAAATAAAACAAATGGAGTGTAAACATTGTACTTACAGCTCAGTGTATAGCATGTAAAGCAGGATAAACAAATCATTGCCTGCCTGAAATTTTATTTTGCACTGACTTTGCTAGTGCTTTTTATGTAGCTGCTGTAAATCTCAACAAACAGCTAGATAAGTTGATGTAGACCCTGGAATACTTCTGTGTTCCCCAGGAACCCGTGCATTCCTTACTGAGAACTTCTGACTGAAATTCCTCCGGTGAGAACTGCTGGATAAGATATTATGCACTTTCTAGCCTGAAGAGCAGTGCAGTAGGGCTGTGCATTACTGAACACCAGCTATTTTCTATTGCAGAGGTATGGTTGTCCTTCTGGTATACCTGTATTATTTAGCCTTAGTCACCTCAGAGATGTCGTGGAACTTACTGTTTGTAAAACAGCAAAGACCTCAGGTACACGCAGCGTCTTGGTAGCAATGTAAGAACAAGAAATCAAGGACCGGATGATAAGTATCATTCAAAAAATAGATTTTAAGACAAGAAAGGTCCATTATAATTATGTAATTTGATGTTTTCCAAAGTGCAGCCCAATGATCTTCATCCATAATTCCTGCTTTAAGATCAGGAATATTAAAAATATTCCTTCTAGTCAGAACACTAGTGTGTAAGGATGTCCATGTATGAGCTGAATTCATGCAGATCTCTTTCCTTGATTGGAAGTAGGGATGTTAATGGTTAACCAGTAAGCCTCACCCTTAACAGGCGAGACTTACCGATTACCCTTAACTGATGGGTCTGGAGCAGCCCCCCACCCATTGTGGGTAGGGGGCTGTTCCAGCCCCGCTGTGTGCGGGTGGGTCCAGCTTGGGCACACAGTGGGCAGGGATGCTCCAGCCCAACCAGAATAGCCCCCACCTGTGGCAGATGTTCCACTCCAGCCCAACCCATTTAATAGATTTTACATCCCTAAGTGGAAGTCCTGATCTCTCTGCTCTTGCTTCTGAGAACTACCCCGAAGTTCAGTCCATACTCACTCCTCCCACTAGAAGAATCTCCTGGATGAAGTAAGTATGGTCCCAAACAAAAATTACTGGCCACAGAAGATGAGGAAGGAATCAGGGACTCCATGGACACAATGAATTATTGTCCTCCAAAGAGAAAGAGTGAAAGTCAGATTACTTTTTCTGTCTCTAGCTAGTTAATATCCTTCCACTACCCGCATTCATCAAGTACCTTCCTTTCTCCTTTCAAATAAAGTCCAAAGGCTATAAGATGCTGCAGCTGTAACGACCAACAGCCTACTCTGCATTGTTCTGCTCTGTACTGTAACTGCCTATGCTTTAGATTACAAGCTCTTCACCAGGGATTCCACTCTGTCCAGAATACGGCTATGGAGTGCTATGCACTGAATTATAGCAATGCTAGAAGATGTACCCGTCGTTGGTCAGGTCCTTAACTCAATGAATTTTTGTTTTTCTTTATTTAAATCATTGCTTTGGGGTGGGAAGGGGATGAGGGGTTCATATGCAGGCTGCCCTGGGAAGAGAGGACTACTCCAGCCCTCTCTCACAGGAGCAGTATGGGAACAGGCAAGAAGCACTTCTCTATGGCTGCTGCAGCAGGAACAGCCGGGAGGGGAGGTTCCCAGGCTAGGGCAGGTTCAGGTTCATCTACCCCCTGCTCTCCCCAGCCAGAGTGAGGAATGCAGCAAACTGTGCACTTTTCCCCTTGCTCCCTGATGAAAGGGAACAGCCAGAAATGTTCCCATAAGAATCAGGGGAGAGTTTCAAGCTATATACTGAATTTGGTGGGCCTAGCTCTTACCGTTTAGGTGCAGTTCTTGAACAGACAGATGCATGTCTCAAATATATAGCAGCTAAGGTCCCACAGATGTGTCACATTTACCATCTTTCCCCTGCTCTCTGAGTTAGCAAAGCTAGTGGGTAGTTGGGCAGTTTTCTTCAATGGCCCGATTTTCAGATGAACTCAGCATGTTAGATATCACAATGGCTGCTGCTGGGTACTGAGCACTTCTGAGAATCTAGACCCAAGAGTTTAGGAAGATTAGTTTTAGACGCAGTAAAGAACCCGCAATTGTGTACACCATGGAATGCTACATGGAAAAGGCCTGAATAGCTCCATCAGAATTAGCATTTCTGTCTTATAGATGTAATAGGCTCGTGCCCCTTGAATTTTAATTCAAGAAGCAGGTCCAGTTTGATCCCCAGGAGCAGATTACTTTAGAAATACCAACATTTACTTAGCTACACACAAGAGTGAGGTGGAATATAACAAGAAATATCAATCAAATCCCTAGCTTAGCTCTTGAGAGAAAGGTATACCAGAGGACAGCAGAACACTTTCACTGTCTCTCATACAGTAGAAGGAGATCTCAGAGCAGGAGAGGAAAGGTGCTGGGTGAACTTCAGAGCAGCTTTAACCCAACATTAGCTGCACAGCTATACTTCTCCAGCCTGATTCAGATTTATAATTACCAGGGTTCACCGAGAGGCAGCGAGCCCTGCTTGCCAGCTGCGCAGTTCTGCGCTCTGCGCTTGCGCAGATCGCTCTGCGCTGGCTCTTCCAGGGTGTAATCTATTCACCACGGGCGACTAGATTACATTGTTTGTCGAGCCCTGATAATTACCGTGAGTTGAAGTGATGGCTATGCCAATACTTCCTGCACCAAGGTTTGAGCAAATGAAGGGAATTTGAAAGAAGTTCTTAGACCTTTAGTTCACACTGATTAGGCCTCAACTAGAGCACTGGGTCCAGTTCCGGGTGCCACACTTCAGGAAATACGTGGAAAATTTGAGCAAGTCCAAAGAAGAGCAACAAAAAGGATTAAAGGTTTAGAAAATATGACCTATGAGGAACGACTGAATAAACTGGGGTTGTTTAGTCTAGAGAAGAGAAGACAAGGGGGACAGAATGTTCTTCACGTACATAAAATATTGCTATGAGGGAGAAAAATGGTTCTCATTAACTTCTGAGGATCGGACAAGGAACAACGGGATTAAGTTGCAACAAGGGCTGTTTAGGTTCCTGACAGGGTAATTAAGCACTGCAATAAAATTGCCTAGAGAGGTTGTGGAATCTCCATCATGGGAGATTTTTAAGAGTAGGTTGGAGAGATGTCTGTCATAGATGGTTTTAAAAACGCTTGGTCCTGCCTTAAATGTACGACTTTACTATGATTTGATGCCAAACATTCAATGCAAGGTTCTGGATAAGCTCACATTTTTCTTAGCCTGGATAAGCTCACAGTTTTCTTAGTTTTTTTGTTCTTTTTCTAATTTAATGTAAATAATTATGGCTACCCTTAATATAGCCTATAGTTTAATAAGAGAAAAATTAAGCTTATTTTATAAGCAGCGTAACATCATGAAAGGCACTTCAAGATTAAATGTTAGAAGTCATTCAGCTGATAGAGAGACAGACAACTGTGAAGGCAGAACAGGATCAGAAATCTCGTCTTGGGGTGCATCTACACGTCAACTGTGTGGCTTATTTCGAAATAGGGAGCATCTACACAGCACTTATTTCGAAATAAAGCACTCTTCCTCTGACTTCCCAATGAGAGTTACAGGAATTGAAATAAGAAGTCCTCCAGCTTGACAGTATTTCGAAATAATGTTGCAGTGTAGATGTACCCTTATAGTGGAAGAAGTTTGTTTATATGATTTTTGGCATTTCCTATTCATACATAAAACATCAACATGGTAATGCCAGGCCAACATCCTCCTCCTATACAAGATGACATCAAATCTAATTAGGTGAATTATGGGGAAAATTCTAAAGGCTATAATCTAGTGGCACATACTAAACAGATCCTGAGTCTGATCAAAAACATCAATTCTTTCTGATTAAACATGATCTTAGAAAAATTTTGGGGGAAATAAATGAAGTTGTTTTTTTTGCTAGAATTGTCAGCTATTGTACTGACATATCAAGATTTCTAAGAAATAAAGTGACATCTAGAAGTACCTTGTTTGTCTTGTGGCACAAGCTGCCCGCTGTTCTCTTGAACTTTGTTCCTTGCATTGGTTTCCTGCTCTTCAGACCATTCTACATTATCCCTGTTGGGGAAAATAAAATGAGCTACTTAGCTAAGAGGAGAAAGCTGCTGGGCAGTGTAATAGCATTTCAATATCCAGTAAATTATAAACCAAAACCACTTCTAATAAGCAAACAAAAGGAGGAAATTAGATGACTCACTGAACTGGTAATAATAGAGGTTTTATCTGTAGGTCTCCAGTTCAAATTTAGTTCAGCTAGGTAGTAATCTAAAGCTGATCAACATACAATGGCTGTTCAGAGGTGTATGTGAATTGTTTTGAATGCCCATCCAGCTTTAATGGACACAAATCCACATCATAAACATCACTCTCACATTTGAGACGACTAAAAAAAAAGACAGGACTATGCAGCACTTTAAAGACTAACAGAGATGCTAGTTATCTTACCCATTACAAAGACAGCTTCCCCAATTATCATCCCTAATATCATTATCTCATAGACACTCTTACGCCCACTCTAAAATCTGATTTGTCAATTTTATAAGTGTCCACTTTTTTTTATTGTATCCCTTTGGTTGGTGGCCAATTTTCTTCTACAATTTGATCTGAGGAAGTGGGTCTGGCCCATGAAAGCTCATCAACCGTCTTGTTAGTCTTTGAAGTGCGGCATCGTCCTGTCTTTTGTTTCAGCATGACCAGACCGTCTTTAACGTAGGCATAGTCCTGTCTTTTGTTTCAGCATGACCAGACTAGCACGGCTGCATCTCGAGTACTATTCGACACGACTAGGCGCCCTTTGCTGACAAAGCAGATGACTCTCCTGTCACATCCTAAAACATCTTTCATTCCTAAACAGCATCGATGCTGAACGACGGGGGCGAATGCGCCAGGGCGGGCGCTGGACAGAGGGAAACGTCCAGACGGTGAGACGCTGTTGCCAGTTTCAAGGCGCCCTCAGGGCTGCACCGGCATGAACGGGAGGGTTCTACCCGCGCAGCGCGCGGCCCCGGCAAGGGGACAGGACAAAGGAGAACGCGGGGCAGCAGGATTAGCCAGGCCCCCGGGGGGAGGGTTGTTCTTCCGATACGGGGCAGCAGGGACAGGAGGCAAAACCCTGGCAAGAAACCCTGCCCCGTGTCCACGCTGCCTCTTGTGCAAGAAACCCTGCCCCGTGTCCACGCTGCCTCTTGTGCAAGAAACCCTGCCCCGTGTCCACGCTGCCTCTTGTGCAAGAAACCCTGCCCCGTGTCCACGCTGCCTCTTGTGCAAGAAACCCTGCCCCGTGTCCACGCTGCCTCTTGTGCAAGAAACCCTGCCCCGTGTCCACGCTGCCTCTTGTGCAAGAAACCCCGCACCACGCTGCCTCTTGTGCAAGAAACCCTGCCCCGTGTCCACGCTGCCTCTTGTGCAAGAAACCCTGCCCCGTGTCCACGCTGCCTCTTGTGCAAGAAACCCTGCCCCGTGTCCACGCTGCCTCTTGTGCAAGAAACCCTGCCCCGTGTCCACGCTGCCTCTTGTGCAAGAAACCCTGCCCCGTGTCCACGCTGCCTCTTGTGCAAGAAACCCTGCCCCGTGTCCACGCTGCCTCTTGTGCAAGAAACCCTGCCCCGTGTCCACGCTGCCTCTTGTGCAAGAAACCCCGCACCACGCTGCCTCTTGTGCAAGAAACCCTGCCCCGTGTCCACGCTGCCTCTTGTGCAAGAAACCCTGCCCCGTGTCCACGCTGCCTCTTGTGCAAGAAACCCTGCCCCGTGTCCACGCTGCCTCTTGTGCAAGAAACCCTGCCCCGTGTCCACGCTGCCTCTTGTGCAAGAAACCCTGCCCCGTGTCCACGCTGCCTCTTGTGCAAGAAACCCTGCCCCGTGTCCACGCTGCCTCTTGTGCAAGAAACCCTGCCCCGTGTCCACGCTGCCTCTTGTGCAAGAAACCCCGCACCACGCTGCCTCTTGTGCAAGAAACCCTGCCCCGTGTCCACGCTGCCTCTTGTGCAAGAAACCCTGCCCCGTGTCCACGCTGCCTCTTGTGCAAGAAACCCTGCCCCGTGTCCACGCTGCCTCTTGTGCAAGAAACCCTGCCCCGTGTCCACGCTGCCTCTTGTGCAAGAAACCCTGCCCCGTGTCCACGCTGCCTCTTGTGCAAGAAACCCTGCCCCGTGTCCACGCTGCCTCTTGTGCAAGAAACCCTGCCCCGTGTCCACGCTGCCTCTTGTGCAAGAAACCCCGCACCACGCTGCCTCTTGTGCAAGAAACCCTGCCCCGTGTCCACGCTGCCTCTTGTGCAAGAAACCCTGCCCCGTGTCCACGCTGCCTCTTGTGCAAGAAACCCTGCCCCGTGTCCACGCTGCCTCTTGTGCAAGAAACCCTGCCCCGTGTCCACGCTGCCTCTTGTGCAAGAAACCCTGCCCCGTGTCCACGCTGCCTCTTGTGCAAGAAACCCTGCCCCGTGTCCACGCTGCCTCTTGTGCAAGAAACCCTGCCCCGACACCACGCTGCCCCTTGTGCAAGAAACCCCGCACCACGCTGCCTCTTGTGCAAGAAACCCCGCACCACGCTGCCTCTTGTGCAAGAAACCCCGCACCACGCTGCCTCTTGTGCAAGAAACCCCGCACCACGCTGCCTCTTGTGCAAGAAACCCCGCACCACGCTGCCTCTTGTGCAAGAAACCCCGCACCACGCTGCCTCTTGTGCAAGAAACCCCGCACCACGCTGCCTCTTGTGCAAGAAACCCCGCACCACGCTGCCTCTTGTGCAAGAAACCCTGCCCCGTGTCCACGCTGCCTCTTGTGCAAGAAACCCCGCACCACGCTGCCTCTTGTGCAAGAAACCCTGCCCCGTGTCCACGCTGCCTCTTGTGCAAGAAACCCCGCACCACGCTGCCTCTTGTGCAAGAAACCCTGCCCCGTGTCCACGCTGCCTCTTGTGCAAGAAACCCCGCACCACGCTGCCTCTTGTGCAAGAAACCCTGCCCCGTGTCCACGCTGCCTCTTGTGCAAGAAACCCCGCACCACGCTGCCTCTTGTGCAAGAAACCCTGCCCCGTGTCCACGCTGCCTCTTGTGCAAGAAACCCCGCACCACGCTGCCTCTTGTGCAAGAAACCCTGCCCCGTGTCCACGCTGCCTCTTGTGCAAGAAACCCCGCACCACGCTGCCTCTTGTGCAAGAAACCCTGCCCCGGGTCAACGCTGCCTCTCGCGCTAGAGAGCTTGCACCTGTTAGAAGAGAGCGTAGCTCTCGTGCAAGAAGCCCTCTCTTCCCACGCCTGCCGTAAATCTTCTTGTGCAAGAGCGGGCGGGCAGCGTGGCCGCTCTGCGGATTCTTGGGCAAGAACCCACCAGTGTAGACATAGCCCCATTGTCCGCTTGGTCCAGTAAACGTCATGGGGTGCTGACAAGGGCTCCTCTTTACACCCGTGTCCACAAGGCACTTCTCCGCTCCCCCCTCCCCCATGGCTACGTCTAGACTGCAAGCCTTTCGAAAAAGCCTCTTTCGAAAAAGAGTGTCCAGACTGCAAGCAGTACTTTCGAAAAAGCAAGCCGCTTTTTCGAAAGAAAGCACCCAGGCAGTCTGGATGCTCTCTTTCCCGTGTCCACGCTGCCTCTTGTGCAAGAAACCCCGCACCACGCTGCCTCTTGTGCAAGAAACCCCGCACCACGCTGCCTCTTGTGCAAGAAACCCCGCACCACGCTGCCTCTTGTGCAAGAAACCCCGCACCACGCTGCCTCTTGTGCAAGAAACCCCGCACCACGCTGCCTCTTGTGCAAGAAACCCCGCACCACGCTGCCTCTTGTGCAAGAAACCCCGCACCACGCTGCCTCTTGTGCAAGAAACCCTGCCCCGTGTCCACGCTGCCTCTTGTGCAAGAAACCCCGCACCACGCTGCCTCTTGTGCAAGAAACCCCGCACCACGCTGCCTCTTGTGCAAGAAACCCCGCACCACGCTGCCTCTTGTGCAAGAAACCCCGCACCACGCTGCCTCTTGTGCAAGAAACCCCGCACCACGCTGCCTCTTGTGCAAGAAACCCCGCACCACGCTGCCTCTTGTGCAAGAAACCCCGCACCACGCTGCCTCTTGTGCAAGAAACCCTGCCCCGTGTCCACGCTGCCTCTTGTGCAAGAAACCCCGCACCACGCTGCCTCTTGTGCAAGAAACCCCGCACCACGCTGCCTCTTGTGCAAGAAACCCCGCACCACGCTGCCTCTTGTGCAAGAAACCCCGCACCACGCTGCCTCTTGTGCAAGAAACCCCGCACCACGCTGCCTCTTGTGCAAGAAACCCCGCACCACGCTGCCTCTTGTGCAAGAAACCCCGCACCACGCTGCCTCTTGTGCAAGAAACCCTGCCCCGTGTCCACGCTGCCTCTTGTGCAAGAAACCCCGCACCACGCTGCCTCTTGTGCAAGAAACCCCGCACCACGCTGCCTCTTGTGCAAGAAACCCCGCACCACGCTGCCTCTTGTGCAAGAAACCCCGCACCACGCTGCCTCTTGTGCAAGAAACCCCGCACCACGCTGCCTCTTGTGCAAGAAACCCCGCACCACGCTGCCTCTTGTGCAAGAAACCCCGCACCACGCTGCCTCTTGTGCAAGAAACCCTGCCCCGTGTCCACGCTGCCTCTTGTGCAAGAAACCCCGCACCACGCTGCCTCTTGTGCAAGAAACCCCGCACCACGCTGCCTCTTGTGCAAGAAACCCCGCACCACGCTGCCTCTTGTGCAAGAAACCCCGCACCACGCTGCCTCTTGTGCAAGAAACCCCGCACCACGCTGCCTCTTGTGCAAGAAACCCCGCACCACGCTGCCTCTTGTGCAAGAAACCCCGCACCACGCTGCCTCTTGTGCAAGAAACCCTGCCCCGTGTCCACGCTGCCTCTTGTGCAAGAAACCCCGCACCACGCTGCCTCTTGTGCAAGAAACCCCGCACCACGCTGCCTCTTGTGCAAGAAACCCCGCACCACGCTGCCTCTTGTGCAAGAAACCCCGCACCACGCTGCCTCTTG